CCCACCCCCGCCTCCTCAGCTCTTTACCTGTCTGGGCTGAATCCTGGGTGATTTCTTCATATCTGTCTTCCGGTTCACTAAATTGCTCTTCAGCTGTGTCTAGTCTACTGTTCATCTTGCCCGTTGAGGTCTTATATCAGTTACTCTGTTTTTAATTTGTAGGATATAGGTGAATATTGTAACTATTTTTATTTTAAAGTCTTTCTTAGAATCCCTGTTACACGTAATCTCCCCACAGTGATTCCTCTTATTTATTGTATCTGCTAGCCATCTCTCAGGAGTTGAATAGATTTGTGTTGTTATAATTTTTAAAATGTGACTTCATCAGGAATTATGGTCTGTGCATTATAACCCACCTGGGTTATAGAGGTGAGCCTGTGGTATCCATTAATCCTGGAAGAATTGTTACATTAATTTCTTGATGAATGCAAAGTTGACACAAGGATTTGAGCACCAACTTTGCTTATGATGTATGAAAGGATTGTGATTTTCTGTGGTTGGTCTCTCTCACCTGATTCTAGTAAAACACACTTTCATTTTCTGCTTTGTCCTCAGACTGAAGCATCACCCAATGCAGCAGCCCCCAGATGCCAGGTACTCAGTGCGTGAGTTTAATGCATAAGAATTGCCCAGATTAATGCGTGCAATTGAATGCATTAGAAACACAGATTTCTGAGATCCACCTCCTGGATACCGATTCCATACGTCTAGTACTGAGTCCAGGAATCCGAATTCTTAAGCTCTCCAAGAGATTCTGGTGGAGAGTGAAGTTTGGGTACCTATGGTCCCATAAGCGTTGAGTATTGGAAGTGGATTTATTTTTGTCTTGTTTATTTCCTTCAAATAAAAAGGAGGGAAAGCAGCTTTCAAAATGTATGTATAGACAGTCCTTGGGTAATGTCAGACTCAACGTATGTCGTTTCGTGGTTACGTCGCCATCTCCCATTTATTTATAAAAAAAAAAGTTCCGTCATTTTGACATATGTACATATGTACTTTGTTTTTTATTATTTATTTACCACAAGTAAAGGTCAGGAATTGTTATCTTTCTTTTAATTTCTTTTACTGTTTCACTCCATTACTGCTGTGTATGTGCTCCATGTGAGTGACGTAGGTGCTCATGTAGGTGGGTTCCGACTTATGGCGAAAATCGTGTTATGTCGTAGGAACGAACCTCCCACGTAACCCGAGGACCTACTGTAATACAGTCTTAAAAGCAGACTTAAAAGCACCTACACAGACAACCTAAGTGCATGCAATCTGACTTCACTCCACTGTTGGGCCTCCTCCCCAACAGCTCGTTGTGGATGTGGCCATGAGCTGTGAGTGAGCCGTCACCACCCATCTCTGGAGACCCCCACGGGGAAGTCAGTTATGGGGCCGGCAGTGCAGCTGAGAAGGGCGGCTGCTGCCTGACAGGTTCAGTGTTTCCGGGCCCTTCTGCAAACGGAACACCCAATACATGTACGGCTCTGGCCGCATCCTGAGGGCTCCTCCTGGCACACCGGTCTGCTTGGCCGAGCCCCTCCCTGCTCACATTCTCGCAAACCTCTCGGCTTCTGCCCCAGCTGCTCCCTCTGCCCCATGACTCCTTTTCCTCTCCAAGACTCCGTCCAAATGGTGCCGTCTCCAGGCAGTCTTCCTCCTGCGCCTCCCTCATTGCCTTCATTAACTGAGCCCTTACCATATCCCCGCACTGCACTGGTCCCCCAACTCCCTCCAGCCCAGCATCTACCACACTGTGCACCTTCCCAGCCTCACACTGCCCCTCGCTCCCCCCACACTGGCTTCTTATGCTCCCGCCCCCTCATAGAGAGGGTGTTGTCCATGAATCCCCAACTATGATTCTTTGCTGAGAACGCAGCTGGTGAATTGTGCACAGGTATTGTGACTTAAGGCCGCCACCTTTAGAGATGAAAGTGGGCCTCCCAGCACCTCAAAGGCTTGTGCGTTCATTCCGATGACTTATGTAGACGCCACATGGTGGGTACGTCCCCTTTAAGAACTTCTGTGGTTGCAGGAAAGGAGACAGCTCAGAGGCAAGCACATCAAGCTGGGAGGTCCCGACACCCTCCTCACTGACCAGCGGAGCATGGACAGCCCCGGGGCTTGCGATCCCATCCGTGGAGCTGAGCCACCAGCCGGACCACCATCTTCCCATTTCAAGTCATTCCTGGGAGCGAGCATCTCTGACACCAGCCGGGCGACCAGAGCTGTGGCTGTTGACTATCGGGAGCCGTATGCACTGGCAGGGGGTGGTGGCAGGAACCTGGGGCTGGGGTCCCACGGCGGGGCTGGGGTCCCACGGCCTGGCCGGCACTGCCACGCCTGAGCGGTGTCACCGGCACAAACGCCTCACCACCTTGAACTTCCACGTCATCTGTTTGAGGGTCCTAGCGCCTGCTCACCACGCCACAGTGTCATTGTGACGACCAAATGAGCCAGTGGCTGGGAAAGTGCCCCGGACACGGTGAGACCCTCCCACGTGTCAGGGTCATTGCTGCGTAGTCCCTCTCGTGGTTCAGAGGTCACTGCTGTGTAGTGTGAGTCCTGCTAGTGGTTCAGAGGTCACTGCTGTGTAGTGTGAGTCCTGCTAGTGGTTCAGAGGTCACTGCTGTGTAGTGTGAGTCCCTCTCACGGTTCAGAGGTCACTGCTGTGTAGTGTGAGTCCCTCTCGTGGCTCAGAGGTCACTGCTGTGTACTGTGAGTCCCTCTCGCTGCTCAGGAGCACGCGCTGCCAGGGTGGCCGTCATGCAGTCCTAGTAGCGCCCCCAAGGGAAAGGCGGGGTGCAGCGGGATAAGGTTTTGACAAGTCTTGGCCGTCACCTGAAGTCACAGCGCGGTCTGCCCCCTGGACGGCGTTCAGATTCCCCATCCACAGCCGCACACAGCGGCCCTCGGGCCACATCGGGTCACCACATGTCTTGTTTGCTTACGTTCCTTTAAAATTGTGGTAAAATACACAACGTCCCAACCATGTTTGAAGGCCAGGTCAGCGGCATTAAGTGCATTCACTGCTGTGCAGCCGTCACCACCATCAGCTCCAGGACTCCATCTGGCAAAACCGAAACCCGGTCCCCACTGACCTCTAACTCCCCTCCCGGCCCCTGGCCCCTGACCCCTGACCCCTGACCCCCTTCCACTTTCTCTGTGACTCGGACTGTTCCGGGGACGCATGTGTGTGGAGTCAGGAGGTTTCCGTCACTTTGTGGCGCTTCTCACTGAGACAGGGCCCCCCAGGCTCCTCCCGGCGGGAGCAGTGTCAGACTCCCTCCTCGTGAAGGCTGCGTGGTGCTCCCCATGTGGGCATGTCCCCCACATGTTGTTATCCCTCCACCTGCTGACTGGCAGTCGGGCCGCTTCCTCCCTGGGCTCCTGTGAATGACGCTGTGGTGAGCAGGGGTGCACGTGCCTGCGCTGTAGGTTGATACTGGAATTAGCAAGTGACATGCAGACAACAAGCAATTGCTCATAAAATTCTGGATTTCTGGCTTCTCTTGGAAAAGGAGTGGATCTGGCAACCCGGGGTCTCTATTCTCACGGCCACACTCGGAGCTGGAGGAGGCAGCCCACCCCTCTCCCTCAAGGGGCGCACCCAGCCTGGTGGGCCTGTCTTCTCCGCTCACCCTCTGACCTGCCGGGTCAGCACCCTCACGTCATGGGTGGACACATGAGGCTCAGAGAGACGCAGGACCTGGGCCCCAAGTCTCGGGGAGGGGCGGTGAGCTGACCACCGTGGGCCAGGCAGGGCCTGCCCTGGGTTCTCGGCCATCCCTGCCCTTAGCCCTGTGCAGCCCAAGTTTCCTCTTTCAGGGGAAAACTTTCAGAGGAAGATGGGCGAGAAGGTCCCGCCTCCGGCAACCTCACCGGCTTATTGTGGAGACGGGAGAGGAGGATGCAGGGCCCTGACCCCGCCCACCCGGCTCTATCTGCCCCCTGCCCTGCCCGGTCCAGAGTCCCCGAGGGAGGCCCCTGAGCCACTGGGGGGCCAGGAAGGCACCCCCGGGGGGCAGGCCACCCCACTGCCCACGGAGACCTCAGAGGCAGGGTGGCCGCGGCCGAGCCTGAGGCTGTGCTCCAGGCTTGGATGCGATGGGCACGTGAATGGAAACGCTTACGTTCGGCAGAAACATACAGGATGTGACTGTTGCGTGATCGAAAGCTGAGAGACCACCTGGCACGGGAGAAAGAGGTCAGGGCGTGAACCGGAAGCCGGGGCTGGAGCCGTGCGGCCCTCAGCTCCGAGGTCATGGGGAAGTCATGTCCCCTCCTCAGTGTACCGTACCCCCTTGGTGAATGGGGTGAACACGTGCCTGCCTCAGCACCTTCTGAGAGCCTTCATGGACACGCCGGGTGGGAAAGCACTGGGCAGAGGTCAGCGTGTGCGCACGCCTGGTCCATGTCTCTGACTCAGTGTGTGTCTGGTATGTGCCTACTGTGCGCCATCATGAGCAATGAGGGAGGTCTGTTATGGCAGTTTGGAAAAAGTCCCCAGGCTAAGGAAGGAAAGCTTGCCTGTCAGATGGTTATTCTGCACACTCGTCGATTATGATTAGCAACAGCCAGCGAGTTGGCATGGCAACGCTTCCCTGCGAATCGCTAGGTGGTGTTCTTAAAATAGGCCCACCAGAGGGTGGCGGCCGCGGAGAGCGCCCGGCGATCGGTCTGCCGGCTCCGCAGACCAAGGTGCCTGTGCCGCCACCCGTGTGCGCGGTGCTCCTGCCCCTGCCCTCGCCAAGCCAGCCGATGGTGCGGTCATTAAGACGAGAGACCCTCCTGGCCGGCAGGACTCAGTGGTTGAGCATCGACCTATGAACCAGGAGGTCACAGTTCAATTCCTGCTCAGGGCATGTGCCCAGGCTGTGGGCTTGTTCCCCAGTGGGGGGCATGCGGGAGACAGCCAGCCCATCAGTGATTCTCTCTCATCATCGATGTTTCTGTCTCTCTCTCCCTCTCCCTTCCTCTCTGAAATCAATAAGAATATATTTTTAAAAAGATGACAGACTCCGGAGTGTCCGTTGTGAGAGCCGGAGCTTTAGCTTTATTGGTACGAACACCGCCTTCCCGTTTCACAGAGGGGAAGGGAGCCCACGGAGGCTCAGCGGCACAGGCACCGGCACGGTCCCTCCACGGCAGCTGGGACTGAACCCGGCTGTCCGTGACCGAGGGTGCCTGCTCCACGCGTGCTCTTCTGATCTGGAATTCCAGAGCTGGGTCTGATGCAACCCATTCTCTAAGGGGCATCGCTGGGCAACAGGAGGTAAATCAAGGAGCTCTTTCCACGCCACATTCCTGCCTGGGGGGCCCCGAGTCCCCGGATATCCTGGAGACTCACTAGGTCTCCGTGCGGCTGGGACGAAGGTGGTTGCAGCCGCCCGACCTCAGCTTTCCGGTGTGAAATCCAAGCAGACACACTCAGCCAACGTTTCTGAATCACTTGGTGATGCGATTACGGTGGGAATTACTCACCAATCATTGCAAAGAAGCGGGAATCCAAATCCTTTAGAAGGGGAGTTCCTTTCTTCCTATTGGTGTTACTCAGCAATTTATTGATTAAACTTCATAAAACGGAGGTTGGGGGTCCTTATACCTTCAGGCTGGTAAGTTCCTTTTAAGAGAGTCACAGCTCATGACGGATCCCAGGCTGAAATTCCGGGACAGGGAACGAGCAACCCCTGAGAGCAGGCGCTAGACGTCTCTCACATGTTTTACACACTCGGAGGCGCTTTCTCTCTTCAGACAGGGCCTTGCAGGGGAGGAGGTGGGGCTGG